GGACGATTGGGATGAGAAGCGCAAAGGCCCTGGGGGGCCATTTGATCACCAAAAACAAGGTCGAAGGTCAAATGGCCATTTGGACACGAAAAAACGGTATGGCCGTGAACAATTATTTGGCCGTGAAAAAGCCGGTAAGGCCGTGAAAAAGTGTGCATTTGGACGTGAAAAAACGGCTCTTGGCCGCGAAAAGGCGTGAAAAACGTGAACTCAAGGAGTTGAAACCGTGCAAGAACCAAATGGCCGTGAAAACGGGCAATGGCATCAAATCTTTACAAAATAGGGTCGAGAGCTGTTTGATCGCATTTTTAGTGATCGAATGGCTCCCCAGGGCTTGGGTCGCCTCGCCGATCGTGTTTTCGATCTTCTTCGGGGCCAGATGCCCAAGAACACAACTGAAGCCCTTCAGGACCAAGTCGAACAACTTCTCAAAGAGAACGAGAAACTCAAGGCTGGTACGGGGGACTGGCCATCCTCCTTCCCCGGTTGAGAGCCCCACTGATCCGGAAACTCCAGCTGATCGTGAACGCCTTCACATTGACAAGTCCAAACCTCGTGTTACCCCACCGGCTCCGCCTCGTTCGGGACGCACTTTGGACAGCCACTTCAAAGCTTCGCCCATGGATCTGGAGAAGTCTACCTCGACCCCTGCCGCTCCTGCTGACCCCCTCCATGCTTACATTGTCGGCGCCCATCGACCGGTATTGGAAGACAACGCACCGACGAAAGCCACTAAGACTGAGATCGACAAGTGGATCAAGGCCAACATCAAGGACAGGGCTCGCTTGTCCAAGCTGGAGGAGATCGCCAAAGAGATTGACTCCATCATCACCAATCTCAAGGCCGACAAACTGGACCTTCCCAACTTGTCCCGCCTGACCATTGCCTGGGGCTGGGACCCCAAAGTTGCCCAGAGTGCTTCCCAGAATGCTTTGATTCGTATGTTGGCCACGGCGAATGCCCTGGTCGCCTGATGGTTCCACCATCACTACCCTGCGGAATTTTGTGACCACGACCATTTCTCAAGGCTGCTCCCCCTCTCTTCCAACACCTATTCCTGTTCGTGCTCGTCGTCTTTTCCTACAATTCTTCACCCTTGTGGATGCTCATTGTGAACTTACTTATTTGGAGCTTCGCCCCCTGGTCTTTTTTGAAAGGTCAACTTTGCCGCCTTATCCTTTTTCGCACCCTTCCCGCAGGTGCTCGTCGAACCCGTTTTCTTCCTTTGCTGCGTCGACTTCGACCTCACCAACAACTTTACCTTCAGGACTACCTTCAACCCAACGTCGTCTACCTTCAGTTCCATCCTCACTACGCCGGCAGCAGCATATTTCCCTGTTCGATCGGGAGATGTCCCGCAGACGCAAATATCGACAACTCTGCAGCGGTATCACCGCTTACTACAAACCCGCTCTCCGCTATTGGAAGCGGACCCGCACCTTTTTTCAACATGCTGCTATTCCTCTCCAGTTCACTTCTGACACTTTGACCACTCGATCCACCGAGATTTCCTTTCAACAACATTTTCGTCCTCAACTCAATCATCCTTGGATCAACCCGCTCCTTCGTCGACACGGACTCCATCGCCCTCAGTACAACATTCCTACAACCCGCCAACTTCATCGCCTCCATCGTCGCCTTGAACGCCAACACGCTCAGGAATGTCTATAGGATCTTAGTCTTCACCTTCTTAAGACTTCGGACGTTCTTCACCTCCTCCTACACGAGTGACCCACAAGAGTGTCCTACAAGAGTGTCCCAAAAGAGTGCCCCCAAGAGTTGCCCACAAGAGTGCCCCACAAGAGTGTCCCACAAGAGTGTCCTACAAGAGTGTCCTACAAGAGTGTCTCACAAGAGTGTCCCACAAGAGTGTCCCATAAGAGTGTCCTACAAGAGTGTCCTACAAGAGTGTCTCACATAAGAGTGTTGTGGCCTACAAGAGTGCCCCGTAAGAGTGACCCACAAGAGTGTCCTACAAGAGTGTCCCGTAAGAGTGTCCCACAAGAGTTTCCTACGCAAGTGACCCACCAGAGTGTCCTACAAGAGTGTCCCGAAAGAACGGCCTGCAAGAACTTCCTACGAGAGTGACCCACAAGAGTGTCCCGTAAGAGTTTCTCACAAGAGTTTCCTACAAGAGGAGTGTCATTTGGACATGTCAAGCTTGTCGAACGTGTTTGCGTGCGGGTTCGTGGGCCCCATCTTGTTTTTTATTCCTGAATGCATAGCAAAGGGTTCTCGTTTAACTTGGGGAGTCTGAGGGCAATGACTTTGACTCCGTGTTCGCAACGGTTCGCAACCGTCCGAACGTGACTGATAAGGCCGTGACAGTGTATGGCAAGCTTTTGGAAGAAGTTTTGGAGGGAATGCTGAAGTTGCAGATTCGTGTGAAATAGCATAGAAACGTAACATGTGGAAGTGTCGAGGATGATTTTTCTGCGCGGTTGCAGCGTTTCGTGAGATCCTCCGTTGCCTTCATGCACTGTGACAGTTGGATTGGCGTTCGCAGGGTTGTCTGTTGTTGGATGTCGCTGTGACAGTGATTTGCGTTTCAGGCTGTTGCCTCGAAGCTGGATGTGAGTGTGCTCAGAAAGCGTCGAAATCATTCCAAACGTGTGGTGTGGTGCAAATTTTGCCGAAGGCGTGAAGATGTCATGTCGTCACTTTTCGTGGCAGGCGCAGTATTTTGTGCGTGATGGAGGTGTCGAAGTTAAGTTTTCACAGCAGGCGGAGGGAATCGTGAGGTTGCGACATTTGGTGGAGGTGAGTGTTGCTGTGCCACTGGGATTGTGTGTCAGCGGCTGTGGTTTTGCTTGGCAGGGCTGCTTGATGTGTTCGCTCTGATAATGAGACTCCGGAAGTCTCTTACGAAGTGCTCGTTTTGGAGACTTTGACATGTGACTTTTTTGGAGGAATTCTCGTGCGAAGTGAGTTGACGCCAGACTTTTGGAGGAAGTCTTATACGTTGTGTTCGTTTCGAGACTTGACGTGTGAGCTTTGGAGGAAGTCTCGTACGAAACGCTTGCTTTCCAGACTTGACGCGTGAGTTGTGGAGGAAGTCTCGTGTGAAACGCTTGTTTTCGAGACTTGACGCGTGAGTCTTTAGAGGAAGTCTTGTGCGAAGCGCTTGTTTTGGAGACTTGATGCGCGCGTTTTGCAGGAAACCACAACCTTTGGAAAAGAAAAAGTCTGAGAGTAAATCAGACCCAGCTGCTATGAAGCTTCTGAACTCATTTACCTTTGCTTGCCCCAGCTCCATTTTGGGCACTGCTTCGCATCGGAGAAACTTGTTCTTGTATGCGTTGACCACTTTCTCCCCCAACTCTGCCTGACTCAACCGCCACTGAACCAGTTTGCGGCGCTTCAAAGCTTCCACCCTCTCTGGAGCTTCCTTGATGCTTCGCAGAAGCTTCCAATCCCGCTCCAGAGCGGATTGAAAATACTGCCAGCGCGTGTCGCGGACTTTCAACCGCTCTTGTTCTGCTTCAAGAGTCTGACCTTCCTCTTGAACCCTTGCCTGTTCCAAGGCCTGCCGCTTGGCAGATGGGAGCATGCTCAAGGAAAAGGTCGATGGCCGTGCTTCCAGCATCTCAGCAAAGTCCTGGTCTTTGAGGCTGCTGGTGGTCATCAACTTGTCATACTCTGCGAACTCAGTGATCCGCTCGGACATGAAATCACCTGGGTGTAGAGGCAAACTATGTTGCGCAAAGAGACGAGTTCCTCCTTTGTGAGGCGGTAGCGCTTGCGGTCACTTGGCTGCTCCACAATTTGTGTGTCCAACAAGAGTGTCCGACAAAAGTATCCCACAAGAGTGATCCCTTACAAGAGTGTCCTGCAAGAGTGCCCAGCGCAGGTGTCACGCAAGAAGGTCCCACAAGATGCAAGAGTGGCCCACAAAAGTCCCACGAGAGCGTGTCAAGAGTGTCCCATAGGAGTGAGTGTCCGACGAGTGTCCTACACGAGCGTCTCACAAGAGTGTCCTACAAGAGTGTCCTACAAGAGTGTCTCACAAGAGTGTCAAACAATGTTTGGCCGTTTTTTTCGTATGCGAGTGTGCATTCGGGTTCGTGGGTTCCACTTGAAATGTTTGAAACATTTGTGTTTTTGGGTTTGCAGGCAGGCACATGAGCCTTCTTCAGTGTGAATTTTTACTGCATCGTTGCCGGGGCAGCCGCGGGTTTGGGCTGGCGATTTGCTGCTCCAGGACGCAGTTCGCAATCCCATGACACGCAATCCGCAAGAGTGGGAGATGTGGTGTGCAAAGGCCTGGGATGAAGATCTTACGTCCAGAACTGCCATACATTGATTGCTTGCGCCAGGTGATTCAGCATACTTTGTCAGCTGTGGCGTATTGTCACTCGAAAGGCGTCGGTTGCTGGGAGCTGTCGGAGCTGTGGTTGGTCGAGTCGGAGGTGGGAGTGTAGCTTGAAATTGTAAATTTGCTATGTGAGGCTACAGGTTTCTGACCATGACCGAGCGTGACCCAGCACGCCTTCTTAGTCGCGCCGAATTCAGGCTATCCTCCTTGATCTCAGACATAAAACTCAGTCTCACGAGACATGTTTCGTTTGGTACAAATGTGTACTACATCCTGCTTGCGCATAAGTTCGATTCAATCCACAGTATAAAACATTTCTCCTCTATGTCTGATCTCATGCCATGCCTGCAGCTTCTCAGCTTATGCTAGGAAGTCAAGAGCCACATGCATCGAAGCAAAACACCTTGCTGGATTGGGCAAATCACGGAGCTGAAGGACTCTCATCTGACAAGACCAGCAGATGGAAGGTGAAGCTGAAGTGGAATCCTGGAATGAACAGTCCCAATCGATTTTCCGTTCCGCAGAAGGTAAATAAATAAAATTGTGATTGACTGTGTGCATACTTGACACGAACCTCCTTTTGACCGGATGGAAGAGTTTCGGCCCCAAAGCTCAAGATGATCATCAATCTGTTAGCTTCGTTTCTTGGGGCCATGCCCAACATCTTCTGAACCCCCAAGTGCCTTTACTCTCCCCTGACAAACCTTTATTGCCGCACACCAACTAGTAACCGGTGCGCTTGGTGGCGGTTTGGAGGCACGAGAGCTGCTTGCCGGAGCAGAATTCATGTTGCATTTGACCATGAGTCGGTCAGTGTCCAGCAATTGTGCTGATACCCAAACCTCACCAATTGCAGCAGAGTGAAAATTCAATGTCTTTTGCAGACTTGTGCCGAGTTGCGGTACTGCTCCATTCTGCTTGAGGCGAGATTGGATTTTGGTCCTTCGAGAGTTGCTCGGAGTTTATACAACCAGCCTGCTTGGCAGGCCATGTCTGGAGGGGCAGCAGCAGCCACCAGCAAGGGTCTGGAACTGAGGGTACCTTTGCAGTTCTTCTCTTAGAAACCTTCCTTCCCCAGAGCATGTTGAAGCTCGGAATGACCTTGACCGACCTTAGCCTTAACATGCCTTAACCTAAGATGCCGATAGACTGAAGGCGTTCAAGGCCCAAAGCACAGCCACGGCAGCCACAACACGGCGCGCTCCAACTTCGGAAGTCACAAGTTTGCGCACCACCACCTGTCAGGCATCATGGGCTTCTTTGCAAATCGGGAGGAGTGACTGAGTGGCAGCTAGGGTTTCAAGACACTTGAATTGGATTGGAAGTTTGCGTTATCCCTAGGAGTCTTAAAAGATTGAACACTTCTTCAGAAGTTGTGAGTTGGGAAAGCTCAGCTTGTCTCCAGGCGTGCTTAGTTGACTTCGGTGGTTCTGCAGAGAGCGTGATCGACATTCACGTTCTCTGTCACGAGGCCACGGTTGATGGTGGTTTCTCGGTTCTTCGCCGCAAGAAATAAGACTCCTTACAGCCTTGAATGCCGAGGAATATGTTTTCTTCAATTAAAGGCTGAGCGGGGAAGACCAAGTAGGAGCAAGGACGCTACTAGGGGCTCCTGGCCTTACTACTAGGAGCAAGGACGCTACTTGGTGGACACAGTGGACACCTGTTATTCAGCATGCCCAGCGCTCGGTTTCGACTAGGCTCGTGGCATGGATTTGAGCCCTGGAGAGCAGATCTTTGTCTCCCTGCGCGATGCCACGTGCCAGAGCCCAGCTGAAGAGTGGAATGCGCTCGAAGGTTCGGATCGGATGCAGCGCTATTTACTTATTGTTTCTACTAGCTTCTTGCTACTACTAGTAAGGCCCTTGCTCCTAGTATACCCCATGCCTTAGATAATTATTTGGAGGTGGGGGTGACCCTCCAAAATAATTTCCACAGAATAATTACAACTGCTAACTATTTCAGTCAGGTGGGTGGTGGGTGGGGAGCAAAATAATTCCAAATAAAAGGTCAAGGTGGTGCAAAATAATTTCCACATAAAAGGTGACCGCCTAGAAAAATAATTATGATCATGCAATGAGGGAATTCCTGGAAATAGACAATGACTCTGGCAAGCAGACAATGATTTTAGAGGGGGGAGGGTCACAGACCACCTCCAAAATAATTATGTGAGTTGATTGCTGTGAGGATTTGAACTTTGTAGCTCAAGTATGCTGCAGCATTGGGGGTCAAAGGTTCAGGAATCAGAAAAGTAGAGAAGATTTATGGCCATGGATCCACCACCATTGCCAAAGTCGGCGCCGAAAATATGTGCAGTGAAGAACTGTGCCTAAGTTGCAGATAAGCAGAACTATAACGCATGCCGGAACCTGCCAGAACACTTGTGACTGTGCTTGGTTGAGGTATGGCTGATATGGGAGCGCCGGTTTGGAATAGTACCTGGGAATTCTACGTCGCCACATGTGAAACTTGACAGCAAGCGGTTGATCTAGAAGTACCTAGAACATCCTAGAACCACTTCTGAAGGAATCATAGGAATCAGCCGCCTGTGTAAACAGAGCCAAGGAGAAAGAGTTTACGTCTACGTCTGGATACAAGCGGAAATCCCACCACGTTTGCATCTAGTGGCCTGGCTGAAATGCATTGGCTGCCCATGACTGCAATGATGAGAACACTCATCGGAGTTCTATCTATACATACTATGCTATTTTGTGTTTTTTTGGGCAAGGTTTCACGCAGGTGTCACATCTCTTTCCCTGCTTCCACTGAGTTGCCCGGAGACGAAATGCTGGCATACATCCGCTTGTCTCTCACAGACGGCGAGGGAATTGAAGAAGGTTTCAGAGCCTTGGCTGTGGTTTGGGGGGAGGGGCCGGGGTCGTCGCAAGAGTTCTTTTGTTTGCCATTGCCATTGCTTGCTTCAAAACTGGATCAGTTTGGACCGGCGCACTGGTTTGTAGACCGGCAGTTCCTCCAGTATCCTCCACTGTAGCCATGAGCGACTCCTTCAGAGGGCTGCGGTCATTGACTGACTGCTTCATCAGGCTATTGCAGGGGCGTCTTGGACAGGTTGGCGTGCCTGCCGCAGGAGTTGGCCAGCCGGCTACCAGTGCCATATCCCCTGCCCAGCCTAAGCCTAGGAATGAGACAAGGTTGATTGGGAAGAATGAGCGCTGCAACGTCTTCAATCTCAACTTGGCAGCTGCGCTTCCGGAATGCAATGGAGACATCCCAACAAATGGGACACACTTGGCTGGAGTCAACAAGGACTGCAATGTCTTCAACATCAACGTGGGATCCATGACTTTGCCACCTCCGAGTTCCAGTTCAAAGGCGTGCAATGGTGGATCCGGGCAAGCGGCCTCCGCCTACCAGTGGTGGGTCAGCGCCTGAAAAGCGGATTCGTCGCTCACTGTCAGAAGCAACATTGGTCCTTGGTCAAGAGGATGACCAACATCATGAGGTCGAGTCTTCATCCTCAACAGGACCAGAGTGATTGCCATTGCTGATGGCTGTTTGAGTGTAATTGATGTGGCCATGGGCAGGAGTAAGGTTTGCGTAGAGCGCGATAGAGCACTGCAGGATAGGGGTTGCTTGCAGTGCAATAGTGCCATAGCTGTTACTTTTCTGCACCGGCTAACGTCCACAGAATTCCGCAGATTGTAGACCGTTTGATACAGTTTATTTCATTGTAGATGTTTGTAATTGTTTGTAGGATTTTGTACAGTAGGTGTCCTTAGGTTAGAAATGATTTGAAGCGCTTTTTGCCCAGCATGTTGGAAGCCAAAGGGCATTCCACACCTGGCTTCGTTGATGTTGTCATGTGTTCTGTGATGCGTTTTGAATCGTGTTGATGCCTACACTGCTAGAAGTACGCAGGTGAAAGGTTGACTGCAGATTCCTGATCAGATCTATATAATCAGATTTTAGTGAATGTACTTACATGAATGTCGGCCGCTGAAGATTCCCGACGCCGAGGAAAAATCGCAGACAGTGGAGACCAAGAATGAATCCACAATGCCAAAGAAGGATACTTTTTGGTACTTTTTGCATCTTTTTTCGCCTTGTTACAAACGTATACAAAAATACATCAACCGTATCAATGCAGAGTGCCAGGAGTCATCGAGTGCCGCAAAATCTTCTGAGCCACCTTCTGCCTCCAAGCCCTCAGCTTCCAAGGCGAAGGAGTGGTGGATAGTGGTGGGTAGAGTGTGGTGTGGAGAGATGTGGAGAGCAAATAAAGTGGACTGATTGATTCCATTGTCTTGTTGATGGATACACAACCGATCATAACCGTACAAAGCGCCAGGAGCCGTCGAAGAATGCCACAAAGCCGCCTTCTGCCTCCAAGCCCTCGGCTTCCACAACGGCCCCGAAGGAGGAGTGGGTAGAGTATGATGTATGGTGGATATAATGGAGTACGTCAGATTCCATTTGTCTTACTGACTGGTTCTTACTATATAGATCTATATAGTGATGTATATTGTCTTCTTGTGATGGATGGCCGTACAAAGCGCCAGGAGCCACCGAAGAAGAATGCAACATCTTCTGAGCCGCCTTGTACTTCCAAGCACTCCGATGCCGCGAAGGAGGGCTGGGCAGAGTGTGGTATGGAATGTGATGGAAATTGATGGAATGTGATATATACTGTAATATACTGTATTATACTGTGATGGAGTGCCCGAGATTCCTTTGTCTTGTTGATGGATGACCGCGCAAAGCGCCAGGAGCCACCGAAGAATGCCGAACAACAGCTTGAGAAATCGACCAAGATGTTGGCTGATGCGAAGCAGGAGATCAGTGGAGTGTCCAGATGTGTCCTGTTTAGATTTGAATACTGTAGGTTTTGGTTTTGATACGTTTCATTTGCTATCAATTGCTGTTGATTCAGGAGGCCGCGTCTGCTTCCCAGCCGTCTTCTTCCTTGACAAAGCCTCCACCAACTCCCGTGAAGCAGGAGATCGGTAGAGTGATGCATAGTGATGCAGAGTGTAGTGGGCAAAAGAAACATTAGCGGCCCTGTGAGCAACAGCAACTCCAGGATCCTGGTGCTGAAGCTCTG